TAAACCCTGGCTGCCTCCATGCCTCAGCCTACTCTCAAGGGGACCAAAAGCCTTCATACATCTCAAGTTTGGGGACAAAAAAGGGGGGCTGATCATTCAAAATAAAACAAAAGCAAGACTTAATGTAATTTTTTTTTTTGGAGACCATCACTTACACAAAAGCAATGCCATCACCCTCCCCTGTGTGGATTTAGGCAAGGACTGGCCCTTCTCCTTAGAGAAGTGGGGCAGCTTTCAGGAAGGCAAGGGACTTCCTATAACAATGCATCTTACATTCGAAATGACTATTTTAAAAAATGTACGAAGTCCTCAGCCACAAGGTAGAACTTTGGGGATGGTTGATCCAACTGCCTGCTGTCACCTTCACTGTTCCAGTTTTTAAGTCCTGAGTCAGTACCAAAAAAAAAAAATATTCAAAAGAAAAAAAAATAAAACTATGCCAATCTCGTCACCTTTTCTGTGCAAGTTAGGTTTTGTCATGAAAAGGGTGGAAGGTAACTCAGTCCGCCTAGAAGCACTTGCGGTGGACGATGGAGGGACCAAACTCATCATACTCTTGGTTGCTGATCCACATCTGCTGGAAGGTGGGCAGTGAGGCCAGGATGGAGCCACCCATCCACACGGAGTACTTGCGCTCAGAGGGCGCAATGATCTTGACCTTCACCGTGCTGGGGGCCAGGGCAGTGAGCTCCTTCTGCATCCTGCCGGTGATGCCGGGGTACATGGTGGTCCCGCCAGACAGCACCGTGTTGGCATAGAGGTTCTTGTGGATGTCCATGTCACACTTCATGATGGAGTTGAAGGTAGTCTCGTGGATGCCACAGGCTTCCAGGCCCAGGAAGGCAGGCTGGAAGAGAGCCTCAGGGCAGCGGAAGCGCTCGCTGCCAATGGTGATGACCTGACCATCGGGCAGCTCATAGCTCTTCTCCAGGGAGGAGCTGGAGGCGGCAGTGGCCATCTCCTGCTCCAAGTCCAGGGCGACGTAGCAGAGCTTCTCTTTGATGTCACGCACGATTTCCCGCTCGGCCGTGGTGGTGAACCTGTAGCCACGTTCCATGAGGATCTTCATAAGGTAGTCTGTCAGGTCCCGGCCAGCCAGGTCCAGACGCAGGGTGGCGTGGGGGAGGGCATGCCCCTCGTAGGTGGGCACAGTGTGAGTGACCCCATCACCAGAGTCCATCACAATGCCAGTGGTGCGGCCAGAGGTGTACAAGGACAGCACAGCCTGGATGGCCACGTACAAGGCTGGGGTGTTGAAGGTCTCGAACATAATCTGAATCATCTTCTCACGGTTGGCCTTGGGGTTCAGTGCGGCCTCAGTCAGCAGCAAGGGGTGCTCCTCTGGGTCCACGCGCAGCTCATTATAGAAGGTGTGGTGCCAGATCTTCTCCATGTCATCCCAGTTGGTGACAATGCCGTGTTCAATGGGGTACTTGAGGGTCAGGATGCCTCTCTTGCTTTGGGCCTCATTACCTACGTAGGAGTCCTTCTGGTCCATGCCTACCATGACGCCCTGGTACCGGGGGCGTCCCACGACGGAGGGGAAGACGGCCTGGGGGGCATCGCTGCCCGCGAAGCCGGCCTTGCACATGCCGGAGCCGCTGTCAACCACGATTGCAGCAGTATCGTTATCCATGGCAAACTGGTGGTGGAGTAGACCAGTGGCAAAGGTGGAGCGGTGAGAGGCCTGTGCTGTTGGAGTGGACGTGGTCTCAGCTGTCATCTTGAAGTTTCTTGACCCACTCGTGCAAGAAGGTATGTAAGACACACCTAAGAAATAATGTATATTAGGTTTTCAATATTGACATAAGGTTATTGAAAAGGTAAAAAATTAATTTAATTGCCACAGAATTATTAGAAATTAAGTCTTTTATATTTCAAGATCACTGTAGTATTCACTGAAAACATTTTTAGCATTTAGGGAATGAATGCTATTAATTTCTTCTGTTTCCAAAATTAGTTTGGTTTGTTACCTCATGCTAATGTTTAAAAGCCTTTCTATGAGAGAATCATCAAAAAATTAGCTATCCTAAAAAAAAA